GTGGAAAGCTGAAATGGCTTGAGAGGGCTGGCTTATACCAATACAATTGTCTATCCTTTCACTTCCATTCCTCTACTGGCTTACTGCACTATTCCTGCTGTTTGTCTTTCTTACTGGGAAATTCATTATCCCCCACTGTAAGTAACATTATAGCACTCCAGAAATTCTCTGACAAGTGAATATGCAAAATTCGAATATGCTTCAAAGAAATAGAAGTTGAGCTTAGAAATTTACTTGGACATGACAGTTGAATAGATTCATGAAAGAATCTTCTTAAGTTATAAGTTATTAGTTAAGATGGTGCCAGTCATATCGTTAAGTATTCTGCAGAATGCAGCCACATTTCCCTAACTGAAACCTGAGCCAGACCTAAGTTATGTTAGCCACTTGGAACGAAAATAATGCACTTGCTTCTATTTGTGGGTTTGTATTTTCACAGTGTACTGACATGCCTGAATTGCTCTTCTCTGACAAGAAATTTTGTTTGTTTTCTGCAGCTGAACAATCTAGCTAGCATTTGGTTCATGGCCCTTTTCCTTTCCATCATAGCTACAGGCATTCTTGAACTCCGATGGAGTGGTGTTAGCATCCAGGACTGGTGGCGCAATGAGCAATTCTGGGTGATTGGTGGTGTGTCGGCACACCTTTTTGCTGTATTCCAGGGCCTCCTCAAGGTCCTAGCTGGTGTTGACACCAACTTCACTGTAACATCAAAAGCAGCAGAAGACGCTGAGTTTGGGGAGCTCTACCTTTTCAAGTGGACAACTCTTCTCATTCCACCAACCACTCTAATAATCCTCAACATGGTTGGAGTTGTAGCTGGTGTATCTGACGCCATTAACAATGGTTATGGCTCCTGGGGTCCCTTGTTTGGAAAACTGTTTTTTGCCTTCTGGGTCATTGTTCATCTTTATCCTTTCTTGAAAGGTTTGATGGGGAGGCAAAACAGGACGCCTACCATTGTAGTTCTCTGGTCTATACTTCTAGCATCAATTTTCTCACTGATCTGGGTTCGGATTGATCCTTTCTTGCCAAAGCAAACAGGTCCAGTACTCAAACCATGTGGGGTGGAATGCTAGTGGATCATTACCTTGCCATACAGGACTTCCTGCCATAAGCTTTTTGCTGGATTTTTTATTTTTTTTCCTAATATTTTGAAGCTCCTTTGATGAGATTGCTAGTTAATAGTACATAATCCCTGTGGTGCTACTGCTCATAGGGGATGCGATTGCCATTTTGCCGCACCTTCATATCCAAGAAAAGCTTTCTGTATTTGGAAGAGTTTCAATGAAATATCCTTTTCCAGTTCAGTTCCTCTTTTTACACCCAGAAGTGGCAATGTCATTCATGTTAATGTAAATAATAGATTTGGTCAACCACAGCAAGATCAAATTCTTTTTGACAATTGGATAGGATCAGCTATTTAATATTATCAAGTCTTTGTGATGATAGTATATCATCAACTTTTGATTTGAACTTGAATAATTAATCTAGGAAGCAGAGCTATTACATGACTACTTGACTATATTTATACAAAATTTGAACTTGAATGTGGTGGCATGAAACTGAGTTCACACAAGAATCTGTGATCTGCCTAATTCTATTTTTGAAATCCTGTTAGTTTGCTGAGAGTTATCGTTGCCAATGGCTCAGATAGGTAAGCCTGGGTCCTTGCTGATAATTCTTGTGCTATAGAACGCATGGTAGGTCTTGATTCTGGATTGCTGCGTACGCATGCCAAGGCTACTGTGACTATAAACACTACTTCCTCTGCCAATTGGCCTGTTGGAGGTTGCAGTCGCTGATCAAGTATTTCCGTCAGAAAAAATTGTTGACTGTCTGATGATGACATTTTTGTCAATGATGAAAGAAAATTTAGCAGCTCTCCGGGATGTCTTCCCATCATGACTTCTAATGTGACTACTCCAAAGCTGTAGACATCACATTTATCTGTAACGTGCATTGTTTGGGCAAGTTCTGCAGATTAAGAAGGTCGTTTATTTCAAACATCACCTCTGAGTAATATAGCAGAAACAAGGGAAAAAAGTAGTAACTAAAATTGAAAAGTTACCTGGAGCCATGTAGCCATAAGATCCAACAACTGCAGTCCAGTTGGATGAATCTGGGTTCAAAAGCCTAGCAGTTCCAAAATCTGACAGACGAGGCTCAAGATCTGCCTCAAGCAAAATGTTATTCAAGGATATGTCCCTGTGTACGATGGGAGGAGAGCAATCATTGTGCAAATAAGAAATTGCATGAGCCACTCCCTGCACAATTTTCACTCTTGCAGCCCAGCCCAGCTCCAATTCTCCATATAAAACCTCTCTCAGAGTACCCCTCTCTATATACTCATAAACCAGATACAAGCATCCTCTCTGAGAACAGAACCCATACAGCTTTATGATATTTCGATGTCTTGCTTCGGTCAGCATACGAATCTCGTTTTCAAAACTCTGACGGTTCACCAGAGGAATGTCCGAAGAGTCTGACATATGAAGTTTTTTAACTGCAACAACTAGACCTGTTTGCAGCACTGCCTTGTAAACGCTTCCAAAACCTCCTTTACCAATGCAATACTTCTCACTGAAATCTTCAGTGGCCTTCACAATATCCCCAAACGTGAATTTCCCTTCTCTTTCCCATATCATCGATGCATAACTATCATCATTTGATCTACTTTTTCTTTCCTCATCAGTGGGACTGGATTTTTTAGCACGTGTTACAATCACAAGAACAATTGTTGCAACAACTAATACAAGAAATGACACAGGAACAAGGACAGCAATGAGAACTTTCTTTTTGATTCCTGAATTGCTGCCAGTCCCTAAATTTGTGCTGCAAGGATTTAATCCAACCACATCTCCACACAAGTCTGGGTTCCCAATGAAAGATGTTGAACTTGCATCTTGGAAGACGCCATCACTAGGGACTTCACCCGTCAACTCATTGAAGGAGAAATCAAAGACACGGAGACTAACCATGTCGGATAACGCTGGAGGAATTCTCCCTGAGAGATGGTTATGTGAGAGATTGAGTCTTTCCAATGTAGTAAGTCTTCTCAAGTCTTGAGGAATTGCTCCTGAGAGTGAATTGCTACTCAGATCCAACAAAATCTGCAGTGAATTTAAGTTGCTTAGCTCAAATGGAATTTCACCAGACAGATTGTTGTGGCTCAGGTTCAAGCTCAATAATCTGTCGCAATTGCCAAGCTCTTCCGGTATATCTCCGGTCAAATGATTACTCGAGAAATCAAGGTGTGTGAGCTCCTTTAAATTTCCTATACTACTAGGAATTTCCCCCATCAAATGATTTCTGCTCAAACCGAGCTCGAACAACATGCTTAAGTTTCCAAGCTCATCAGGAATCTCCCCTGTCAAGTCATTGGAGTCTAGGGTTAGAAGAGACAGCCGAGACAACTCTCCAAGTGCAGCAGGGATTGTACCAGAAATTCTGTTCTTATCCATTTGCAAATTGGTAAGGTTTTTGCATTCTCCCCACTCTGGAGAGATTTCACCAGTAAACTGGTTGTCATTTAGAGAAATGAATTCCAGAAAAGGATGGATTCCAAAAGCATTCGTGATGCTACCATTGAATTGGTTCATATCAAGCCGTACTCTCGTCAAATTGGTGCAATTCTTCAAGCAGCTTGGCAATGAACCAGTAAATCTGTTACCATTGACAGTAAAATCTTGAAGAGCAAGACCACTGCACAATTCAGGCGGCAGCTCTCCAAAGAAGCTGTTGTTTGAGAAGCTAACAGAGGCCAGATCAGGACTGAATTTTCCAAAATCCTTGGGAATAGTACCTACGAAATTGTTAGTGAAAACTGAAAACCCCTGCAAACTAGTTAGGTTAGAAATGGTCTCTGGCAACTCCCCTTGGAGTTGGTTTGTGTTGACATTAAAAGAAAGCAGGGATTTTATATTTCCAATCTCCGGAGGTATCGTGCCGTTGAGGTTATTGGAGAAAAGCTGCATGGCTTGGAGGTTCGTCAGGTTCCATATTGTGACAGGGATTGGTCCTGAAAGTTGGTTTTCCGAAAGGTCTACTTCAAGCAGATTATTCAAGTTCCCTATCCCGGAGGGAATTGAGCCAGAGAGGTTGTTATTGAACAGATAGAGGATGGTGAGCTTTGTCAATTGGCCAATTTCTTCTGGAATTTCACCAGCGAAGGAATTGTTTTGGAGTTGCAACGAGAACAATTCGGTCCAGTTACCTATTAGAGAAGGTGAAATCTCACCAGAGAGAGAATTATCTGACAAACCAAGCTCAGATATTTTGACCAAATTGGACAATGACAGAGGTAACTCTCCGCTAAGCTGATTCACAGCTAAGGCCAAGAAGGTGAGGTTAGTGCAGAGACCAAGCTCAGAAGGTATGCTGGAATTCAACGCATTCATCCGAAGATCAAGACGTTGAAGAGTCTTTAGCTGGCCTAGAGAAGGAGGAATCCCACCTTGAAAGGAATTTCCAAACAGTTCCAGAAGTTGAAGATTAGATAAGGATCCTATAGACTCAGGAATTGGACCATTGAGCTCGTTATTAGCTATACGAAGATCAATGAGATTGGAAAGCTTAGAAATGTTTGATGGCAAAGATCCTGCAAATGAATTATCACTGAGATTTAGATGTTGAAGGTTGCTGAGATTGGCAAACACAGATTCTGGTATTTGACCATCAAGGGTATTCAAAGACAAATCCAGATAAGTTAAGTTCCGGCAATTGGGTATAAAACCAGGGAATTCTGAGGTAAGTTCATTGAAAAAGAAGCTGAGGCGAGTCAATGAGGGCATGGGGGAAAATTGAGACCAGTCAGGAGTTGTTAAGAAGTTTGATCCAAAGTCTAGGTACCATACCTTTTGAAGATGGCTGAGTTGAAATGGAACAGTACCATTAAGATTGTTGTTAAAGAGACTAAGATAACGAAGCTCTGTCAGATTCCCCAACTCTACAGGCACCTCGTTTTCAAGTAAATTGGTGCTCAAGTCCAAGAAAGTGAGCTCTGAAAGGGTACCAATTGATGATGGTATTGATCCAAAGAGAGAATTGTTGCTGGCATTAAAACTAGTGAGATGAGGAAATTCTGTGAAGTTGAATTCGTCCAGTGTCCCAGAGATGTTTAGACCAGAGAGGTTTACTTCAGAAACATCTCCAGAGGAGTTGCAGATAATGGAAGTCCAGTTGCAAGGGCTGGTAAGGTTGTTGAGGGACCAAGAATTGAGAGAAGGTGGTGGAACAGATAAGGTATTCTTCCATTTGATGAGAGCTTCTGCTTGTGTCCTTGGTGATGATGTGATCTTCAACGGAAGCAAACCTACAAAGAGAATATACAAGAGAATAATAGAAGGTCTTTTGGTTGCTCCCATGATTTGTTTGTTGATTTCCATGTGAATCTCCTAGTTTGATATCTTTAGCATTTATCTGAAGGAGGACACGGAAGAGAGAAGGAGAAACAATGGTGGGACTGGACTGACATCTATGACTGCAACCTAGGAAGACTTTGGAAGAAGTTGAAGACTTTGTAATGGGAACAGATAATGAAGTTTTAGCAGACTACATCTATCCTGTTTAATTTTTATATGATTAATGTCTAAGCTTTCGACAGGGTTTTGGGTATGAAAGAACAGATTCCACAATGTTTGACTGGAAACAAATGTCTGGCTGACTGGCTGGCGGCAGCCATGTTCATCGGCAACTGGGATGTTAATAATTGAGTTTTGGGAATCCTTAATTTGAAACTTTGGGGTAAGTTGGGGACCACACGTTTTGGGCCTGCTAAATTCAGAGTTATCATTTAATTTTTTGTAATAAAAGTTTTCATTATAAAATCTACAACTCAAAATGAAAATTACTTTCTAACCAAAAATAAAAAATTGATTTTAAGGAAAATACATATTTTTAATTAATGCTGAAATTATATATTTATAATGTTTAATAATTACAATTAACATATTAGATTATTTTTAAGAAAATAATAAATTTAGTTATATTATAAAATATATTTTATTAAAATCATGATAATTTTTTTAAAAAAATTTAATTTAAATATACTTGTAAATTAAACATTGTTAACCCACAATTCAGCTCTGTCTGTCAACCTCTAAATCTCTTATCCCTGAAAGTGTCTGCATCATGAGTAGTTTTATGGAACTTGAAATTAAAGTCAAATGGGGCACAAAATAAATAAACAAATAAAAGTCAAAGAAGATAATAAAGATATAAATAATATACATTATGTAAATAAAATATAAAAATATTAAAAGCTATATAATACGAGTATGAAATCTCCCAAGAATCTTCTTCCTCCACTCTACAATTAACCCCTGTGAGTTAAAATTTGGACCAACTAGAAATGTTATTGGAATTTTCAAAGGATGCTTGGGAATTAGTCAATATTTCACAGAGGATGTTTCAAGGACATGGATGGATACATGCATATGCAAATATCTAAAAGGGAAGCCAATTTTTTCAAGTGAGGAAATGAGAGCAGATGACCCAACAAAAGAAAATAAAGAACAAGCATACCTGGAGAGGAAACTTGTTGCTTGTTCATAACACCAAATCCAGCTTCTTTTCATCCAAGAAACAATCTTCAGTTATGTCCTGGCTCAATTCGTCGGATATAATCAGAGAATTCATTTAGAATAATTCCAGTTTGATTTCTCCTCTGAACTTTTTAAAATAAAGAAAGTAAAAGGGGTTTTCATAGGCTAACCACAGCCTCAATTCTTTCCCAGTTTATGATTGTGTGAATCAGTAAATGTTTGCATATGCACATTATGACAGGTCAAAGTCAAACATCTATATATCTTTTCTAAAGTTGTTTTTGAAACTTATCCCATTTCTTACCAATCTATCCATTTCACTAGACCTCACAGACCAAAAAAGAAACAAATTTGCTCAATTTTCCTATTTTTAAGTGATGTCTGAATATGACACCACTTTGCAAACTATGGTCCAGGTCAAACAAAGAACAATAATGCAACAGACAGAGATGATTTCACGTTGGCTCCTGATTCTCTTCCTTGAGCATATATAGTGATGAAAGAAAACGAAGAGTGCCTCTTGAGCAGACACCAAAAACTTTTCAGCTATGAGGACATCAGTGCAGATGGTGCTTCATTTTCTCACCCTCTCAAGTCTTTTTCTGGGAATATCGGCCCAGACAGAAGCAGAAGCTCTGCTCAACTGGAAAAACAGCCTAAGGTCTTCCAGTCTACACAGTTGGAGGATCACAAATAGCAACAGCAGCCCTTGCAACTGGACTGGAATACAGTGCAACGAAGCTGGAAGAATTGTTGGGATAAATCTTCCAGAATCCGGACTGGATGGAACACTGGATAGGTTTGACTTCTCTGCCTTTCCTAACCTTACTTCTCTTAATCTCAATATGAACAATCTGGTGGGAACTATACCTGCGGGGATTGGAAATGCAACAAAACTTACTCTCCTTGATCTGGGTAGCAACAATTTCACAAATCCTATCCCCATTGAAATAGGAAACCTCTTGGAACTTGAAGTGCTTCGTCTATATAACAATTCCCTCACAGGTCGAGTTCCTTACCAGCTAAGCAACCTGCAAAAGGTGTGGTTTCTTAGAATTGGTGCAAACTTTTTAGATGATCCAGACCAAACTCAATTTAAGGGCATGGCATCTTTGACGGACCTTTGGCTTGATTATAATCTTCTAAAGGAGGTTCCTTCATTTATCGCTAAATGCCCAAAGTTAGTATTTCTTGATTTTTCCGACAATCTAATCAAAGGTCAAATTCCAATGCAGCTGCTCAGTCCTCTGGAAAATCTTGAATTCCTTAACCTGACCAAAAATTCATTTGAAGGACCATTTCCCACAGAAATTAAGAGCCTCACAAAACTTCGAGACCTGAGACTGGGGATAAACAAGCTGAATGGCACCATACCAGATGAAATCAGTCTCCTTTCTAAACTTGAAATTCTTGAATTGCATGAGAATCCTTTTGAAGGCCCAATACCTTCTTCAATCGGAAATTTGAAGATGCTTTACCATCTAAATCTTATGTCTTCTGGACTGAATTCCAGCATTCCGGATAAACTTGGCCTCTGCACCAACCTCAATTTTCTTGATCTATCAATTAACAGTCTGACAGGTCCATTGCCTCTTTCCCTGGCTTCTCTAACACAAATTAGTCACCTAGGAATCTCTGAAAATCAATTGTCTGGAGAAATACATCCATCTCTGATATCTAACTGGACACAACTCATTTCCTTACAGCTCCAACAGAATGCTCTATCAGGAATAATTCCACCTGAAATTGGATTTCTAAGCAACCTCAATTATCTGTATATTTATGACAACCAACTATCAGGTCCTATCGCTCCGGAAATTGGAAATCTCTCTAATTTACTAGATCTTCAGTTGGCCGACAACTTTTTGACCGGTTCCATCCCTTCCACCATTGGAAACTTATCAAACCTCACGTGGTTCAGTCTGCATAACAACACAATCAATGGAACAATTCCTCCAGAAATAGGTAATATGATAAGCTTAGAAGAACTTGACTTGAGCGAAAACAATCTGCAAGGAACCTTGCCCTCATCAATAACCAGTTTGGAAAAAATCAAACTTTTCTACGTTTCATTTAACAATCTCTCAGGATCCATTCCCGAAGATTTTGGTCCTATTTCCTTGAAAAACATTAGCTTCGCTTTCAACTTCTTCTCTGGGAAGCTTCCTCCTGGGCTTTGTAGAGGTGGCAATCTCACCTACTTAGCAGCCAATGGAAACAAGTTGGTTGGTCCTATTCCACAAAGTCTTAGAAACTGTACAGGGCTAAACAGAGTCAGACTCGGGCGAAACCTTCTGGATGGAGATATCACAAATGCATTTGGCATATACCCCAACCTCGAATTTATGGAATTGCAAGATAACCAACTTTCAGGTGCGTTATCATCAACCTGGGGGCAATGCAAAAGTCTCTCGGACTTCCGTCTATCTGGTAACATGATAACAGGTAAAATTCCACCAGAACTTGGAAATTTGTTGGAGCTGCAGTATCTAGACCTTTCTCAAAATCAACTGACTGGCAAAATTCCACCAGAGTTGTTCAAAACGTCAGTCCTAACCAGATTAAACTTGAGCAACAACCACCTCTCAAATAAGATACCCAGAGAGATGGGAACACTCTCACACCTACAAGTCTTGGACTTATCAGGTAACAATCTCAGTGGTCCAGTACCAGAAGAACTCGGGGATTGCCAAGCGCTGATACTCTTAAAACTGAATAAGAACAAATTGAATGGGACAATTCCGTTTCAGCTGGGGAATCTAGTGGCCATACAGTCTGTTTTAGACCTAAGTCAAAATTTACTCACAGGAAAGATTCCCCATCAGCTTGGAAGGTTGATAAGATTGGAAATTTTAAATCTTTCTCGCAATCACCTTTCAGGTGAAATACCTTCTGCCCTTCAGGATCTTATAAGCCTTCAATCTGTTGATGTATCATACAATAATCTTGAAGGTCCACTCCCAGACAATAAGGCATTTCAGCAGGCTCCTGCTGAGACACTGGCTGGTAATCCTGGCCTATGTGGTGGAGGACAAGGTTTGAGGCCCTGCAATGAACTCACTTCATCCGGAAACCGTAAGAGCAACAGATGGAAACTGATCATTGCAATAGCAGTTCCCCTGGTTGCTTCAGCAAGTACCTTAATAATTTGTGGAATTTTCATTTTCTGGCGTCATTCAAGAGTTAATCAGGATCGAGATGAAGAGAACAAAACTTCAAATGGAAAGTTCTCATTGTTTGTGTGGAATCACAATAAGAAAATAGAGTTCATGGATATAGTAACTGCAACAAATAACTTTGATAACATACATTGCATAGGAAAGGGTGGACAGGGAAGTGTCTACAAGGCAGCCCTTCTGACGGGTGACATCTTTGCTGTAAAGCGCCTTCACCCTTGGGAGGAAGATGAATTCTCTCACGAAGACCAGATGAAGAATTTAAAGTCCGAGTTGCATGCCTTAACTGAAATTCGACATCGGAATATTGTAAAGATGTATGGATTCAGTTACTTTGAAGGATCCATGTTCCTTGTCTCCGAATATGAGGAGAGGGGCAGCTTGGCTAATCTACTACAGTGGGATGCAGAGAAACTGAATTGGGGTATGAGGCTGAAGGTTATCAAAGGAATTGCTCATGGCCTCTCTTACCTGCACCATGATTGTACACCTGCTGTTGTACACCGAGACATATCAGGAAATAATATCCTCTTGGACACGGATTTTGAACCCAAGATTTCTGACTTTGGGACAGCAAGGCTCCTCAGAGAAGGCGAGACTAACTGGACAACTCCAGCTGGCTCATATGGCTATATGGCACCAGGTATTTCTTCAATCTCACTTCACCATTGAACTTTATGAATCATACACTGCTCACTACTAACAGCAAAACAACACCCGTTGCGATGAACTAAGAAAACGAACCTTAGAAAATATGATCCTAATCCCTGAAAATGCTTCCAAGAATAAGCACAGCAGAGTGCATCTCCTTAAATTCTAATGTTTCCACTAACTCCTTTCTCATGTTCTTCCCTGTTGCAGAGCTTGCATCTACAATGAAGTTGACAGAGAAATGTGATGTATACAGTTTTGGTGTAATTGCCCTAGAGGTCCTAATGGGAACACACCCGAATGAACTCCTCTCTAGTCTCCAATCCACAGGAGGGTATGATCAGCTCTTCTCTGACATTCTTGACAAAGGACTGACACCTCCTTCTGATCAAGTTGCAGAAGACCTTGTTTTAGCAGCAAGCCTGGCTCTAATATGCGTGCGTGAAAATCCAACTTCACGACCCACAATGCATCAAGTGTCGAGAGAATTCTCAGTGAGGACATATCACCGACAATTAGCGCATTTCAATAGACTAACATTGCAGGACGTAATAGATATAGTTCCCAATTGACTAGCAAAACCTTTTTCCTGCCCCTTACCAGTACATGAACCAATCCACGTATATATATGATGTTTGATGAATAAAACAACAATTATGCATGCGTAATTGTTTTTAGGTTAAGTTTCAGTCACATAATATGATTCCAAAGAAAATTCAAGTTGGCATCATAGGAATACTAACACTACCAGAATCTATATGTATTTTCTTTTATTGCTTCTTTTTTTCTTCTTCGACAATTTACGCCCTCATTGGATGACTTGTACGATGATTTATTAATGTCAGATACGGTTAGATATGTGCAAGATTCGCTAATATTTAAATTTAACTATATTTGAATGATGTTTTATTAATATCTGATAGTAGTAACTGTTTTTGTTTGAATTGACAAAATGATATAATTGTATATTTGAACAAATTTCTTATTTTACTTTTATTTTATTGTATATAGTAATAAATTAAAAATATATATAATATTAAAGATAGAGATATATAAATATATATAATAAAATATATTATATACATATGTATATAATTAAAATATTATAGACATGTATAATGTATAAGTAAAAACATAAATACATATATATATGATAAAATATATATATTTAAATATATTATATACATGTATTTATATATAATTAAATATATAAATATATGTATCTATAAAATTAATATAATTAAATATATTATATATATGTATATATAATAAAAAATATAAATACATGAATTCAATTGAATATATAAATACGTGTTTATATATAATTAAATATGTAATACGTGCGCCCGTAATTTGACCCAAATTAAATTTTCTTATTTATAAAGTATATATAAATAATTAAAAAAAATATCTTAATTTAATTTTATTAAAGTTTTTAAGAAAAATAAGTTAGGCAAAAAAATAAAAGCAATTTTGGAAAAGATTGGTGAAATTTTGAGTTTGATTGATGTTTTTTAAAGAAAATTTGAAAATAGGGGGTTAAAATGCAAAAAAGAGAAATTCGGCCACGTGGGATGGCCCAATCAGCAGTCACAACAATTTAGAACACACCGCATGGCAAAACACGCTGACATCAGCGCCATGCAGGAAGCCAAGCGGGCGATCTGTATGCCTAGTAATCCGACTGCCCAGATTTAATCATGTACGCGTGAACGGCTCAAATGCATTATCTCTTTAGGTGCAATCGGAAGGACGAGATCAATCGCGATGAACGGTCCAAATTCGCCCATGCAATTAGGCTAAACAGGCAACGATCGGATGGCTCTACTTGTTCTCCGTCGACGCAAATAGACGACCCAGATCGACGCAAGATAGGTATTTAAATATCGTGTTACAGGAGAATCCTAACCCTAGTCGCGCCTGCCCTCGCCAAAGAAAAAGGACCAGCCACCGGAGAAATAGATTGACCCCCAGCCGCTGTCGCACTAGAGTCATCGCCGATCGCCCAAAAAGGTTAAATTTTGTCCTTCCCGCTCAAAATTCGATTTTGAGTCTCTCTATGGTCATATCAAAGCAAAGGCAACTACGGGTGAGTCGAAAACTGTAGGCAAAGCCTGATAGAGCCGTCGCGGCCGAAACCCTAAAACCCATCTGATGAGCCCCTTCTTGTTTCCTGTTTCACACAATTTTCTAATCATTATGTTCACCATCCTTTTCTATGCAGGTTAACTGAAGAAGAAACCCCAGCCGTAAAGGAGAACCGGCAGAGCTGCCGCACTTGGAGACCCCCCTGCCAGTAGGTTCAGTTTTTTATGATTTTCAAACCAATCAATGTCTCCTAACGTGTTTTTTTTACGGAGATATGTGTAAAACCGGTCAGGCTGAGGTAAACAACCACCGTGGGCAATGAAGCCAATGCCGAAGCACGGTAGCATCGCTATGCCGGAACCCTAAAATTGGCCATAAAGGGTTTTCAACACTAATTTTAGATTTTTATAGTATTTTTAGGTACGTGACGAATATTTTGGATTCCCGCAAAAAAAAATCCAAGAAACTCGGGACTCGTTAGGAGGCGTAGTAAATAGCACGGCATTTTGAAACACCAATCTGGGTAAGGATCCCTCACCCTATTCTCAGTTACGGTAAATTGATTATTAATAATTGATAATTGTGTGTTTTGTAAAAAATTAAAAAAATCCTAAAAATATTACAAGTCATTAATGGAGCTAAAACTGATTAGTTCACATTTGTCCTTATTCCCTATTTATTTTTTTGTACTGTCTAACTTGCTTACTATTATATTGTGCATATTTAAATTGATAGATTTTATAGTCTTTTCAATTATCTAGTTTATTTAGTTTCTCTTATATTTTTTATTTGGTTATCTGGTTACCCGGTTATTAGTTATGATAAATTATATCGCTTACTTAAATGTCATTTAAATTGATTCCTGAATATGAAATGAAATGTTAGTATGTTTTAATTGTTATTTAGATGATGAGAATCTAAATAAATAAAAGCTTAATGGGCATCCTGAAAAATGGTGGATGGACTCAGTACATAGGGAACCTTACCGTGGACATTACCTCAGTCGGACGAGGCTAAGAAGTCCCATATCGAAAAGGTTTTGGGAGATATGGTTCACGTTCATACCAGACGGGGTATTGAGGTGATTGTATTTTGGCGCTCATTACCGAACAGGGTATAGGAACAGCTGGGTTAATTGTCAAATCTTGATACTGGGTCCACGAATAGAGGGATATCCTATGAACCCTCAGGGCTCCCAGTAAGCAAGTTAAAAAGGAAAGATTGTTAATCCGACGGATGAAATTGAAATATCATTTGGTTAATTGTCTTCATATGTTGATTTTAGAAAAAAATCGTAATGTTAAGTATCGAATAAAAAATTTTAAAGTTAAATGTATTTACTTAAAATAAAAGCTTCATTAGTTGTTTCTAATTTTTACCAATCTTTGATTTTCTATATCAGTGATTAATGTGATATTTTTACTATGCTAGTGTAGTTCACCCTTTTATTAATCATTTTAGATCAAAAAACCAAAATCTAGATCCCGATTAATAAGAGGGTTTTGAGTAGTTCACCTCCCGAACTCCCTTCAAATGCTAGTGAATGTTATCCCCAAGATATTTATTTATTCATATTTTTTTTAATTACCGTTTGTCTTTTTATGAACTACATAGAATGGACATTCTCATATCCCTATTAGGCATTTCAATTTATTGTATAAGAAATATAAACTCTAACATTATTATTTGCTTCTGCATTTAAAATATAAATGCATTTTCTTTAAGGTTTCGGGTCTTTATAGTTGGTATCAGAGTTGCGTTCCTCAAAACTATTCCTTACATAAACACTTAAAAACACCAAATAAAAACTATTGTTCAACCCTTCCTTGTGAAATGCACATACAAGGATATGAGGAGAGGAAGACTCCAACTAAACCAAGCAGCCCGGGATGCTTCACTTCGAGAGGATGTTGACCGACTCTTTGAGATGCTGGAGGTATTCATCTCTGCTCAGCAAGTCCGGGAGGAAATGAGGGAGTTGTCTGACCCTCTCCTGCTACCACAATTTGAGTCAATCTTACAGTGGGAAGATTCAGAGCTACCTTGGTACAACCATGCTCCTCCACCGTATCATCCGGTACCACCACAATAGAATCTGGTCCCTCCACCGTATCATTCGGTACTGCCACATGGCCACTCAGTCCCTCCCCAGCACAATCTAGTCCTTCTTCCATGGGATCCAGTTCCACCCATGATGGACTCAACCTATATTGAAAGGTATAAAGGACTAAACTCATTTACCTTTATAGGGGCATCCTCTTTTAAAGAGGCTGAGTATTGGTTGACTGAGACAGAGAAGGTCTTCGCAACTCTTGGGGTGGTTCCTGAACAGAAGATCTTATTTGCCACCTACATGCTCGTGGGAGAGGCAGGTCGTTGGTGACAGCTTAAGCAGGCCACCATGTCCGTTCAGTCACTTGGTAACAGTTCCTGATGGCCTTCAATGCAAAGTACCTCTTAGAGCATCTCCGATATTTGAAGAAAATAGAGTTTGTACATATAGTCCATGGTGATATGACTGTGTTGGAGTATTCTCGAAGGTTCCTAGAGTTGGATCGATATTCCCCTGAGAATATGATGGATGAAGGTAGGAAGTCAAGAAAGTTCGAGTGGGACCTCCGTCCTGAGATCAGATAGCAACTATATGTATTTGAGCTCAGCACCTACACAACCATTCTGGCCAAAGCACAGCTAGTGAAAAGGAACCTTTGCATTTTTCCTCCAGCAGTAGGGAATCTCAGACCTCTGGTTTCACACTATAGACCAACACCCACTGTATCATTTTAGCAGAACAAGAGACCTAGGTTAGTGACTTAGGCTCCTCCTCAGCCTCCAGAAACAGACATGGTAGGACTTACCAACACTATGGTAAAGATCATGGGAAGTGACCTTGTTATCGTCTCAATAATATCTGCCGCATATATTAGAGTGTCCGATACTACACGAGAGAGTACCTGCAAAATCAAAATCAAGTCAGACCTTCTATTCAGGGCAGAGCTTACAACCTCACTCAGTAGAATGTTGAAACCAATCCGGACGTGATACAAGGTACGTACACTATCTGTAATTATCTTGCACATATTTTGATTGATACTATTACTTCATATTCGTTTGTCTCACATGTTTTTATACAAAATTTAAATGTATTACCTAAAAAACTTAATTCTATGTTGTTTATGTCCATTCTAGAAGTAGAACACTACTAAGGAATGTTATATACAAAGCTTGTATTATAAATATAGTAAATAGAAAATTGAGTGTGGACTTGATAGAGATCAATACGGGAGACTTTGATGTAATTCTATTAATGAACTGGTTAGCGGTGTATCACGCCACCGTAAATTGTCTCCATAAGAAACTTGTATTCAACCCTCCTAATGAAGAGTCATTTACAAGTTAATAAAAATTTTAAATATTAATCTCTCATGACAATTTCCTTATTACATAGTAGTTTAACTCAGTTGTTTTCTCTACATTAGGAAAATCTAAGAAAGAAGTTTGCATTCAAGAGATCTCAGTAGTCTAATACTTTCTAGATGTGTTTCCTGATGAACTGTCCGGACTGCCAAGTGGATAGAGAAGTTGAGTTCATCAAAGATCTTCAGTCTAGCACCCAGCTTATCTCGATTACCCCTTACCACATGAGTCGTGTGGAGATGAAAGAGCTAAAAAACAAAATCAATGAACTGCAGGATAATGGGTTCATCCGACATAGTAT